TCTACTACTGCTAAAAAGAAATACTACTATTGCTTAGGATTTTTTATAACCTATCCTACTTAAGGTTTTTATAATCTAGTTAAAACAAATATTTGCTTGAAATACATATGATTTCGTTGTGTATTTAAATTTTTTAATAGATAAAATACACAATTTGGTAATTTTCAAAATTTTATGATAAATGTAGTAAATTTTTATTACTATCATGATAATTTGCAAAGCTGATACATTGACAATGTTAATTTTTTGGCATATTTCAATTTAGTAATGAAGATAATGCTACACTTTTTATTCCTAGAGTTTAAATATAATTCCATTACATAGTTTAAATTTCATTCTAAATACTACGTTTTAGTTTGTACTTGAAATAAATATGAAAAAAGTCAATATTACTGTACCAGTGTTCATATATAGTTTGATTTCGTGACGTTTAACATTTCCGGCGCTGTATGAAGGATATTTACGTAATTATATTTTGTGATAAAAGAATGCATCTGTAAAAGAGGATGTGTATTATCTATATACATACATAAGTGTATATAATGTAATTGTATAACATAAAGCAATCATTTTATTAATATATAACGCTTATCGTTTATGTAGGAGAATGTATGGAACAAAGCATCAAAGAAATTGTTTCTTTATAAATAATTAAAATGTATTAAAAAACATACAATCTGATACATAATTTTTTTCTAGATAATATTTAATCGTAATACTTTTTAGAATTGTGGAGTAAACGATAAATTAATAAACAATGTAAGATCTGCGCATGTCCAAAACATTCATATGGCCGTTTGCGCATTTGGGGTTCACATAAGCATTTCAAAGGAGTAGTAATCGATTGAGCGACGTACGCGATCTCCATTGCTTGCACACAAGTTTAGTGAAGTTCTTTATATTCGGTATAGTGAAGGGTATTTGACCCTTAGGAAATATTAAAAATGGTCAAAATGGAACACGATGTAAGTAAAAGTTTAAATTAATATATGTGTGCCTCAAAAAGAATTCGTATACACGTAAAAGCAAAATATATGAAGGTAAAAATATACCTAATCTGAATTAGTTCCTCACTTTGCTATACTTGTACGTATGTACGCCGCAAAATGTATAATGATTTCACCTATTAACAAGATTTTGTTTAAGTTGTTTTATTTTTACTTCATATTTTATATACACAGTTCTTATTCTTCTTAACAAAAATGTAAAGAAATATAACTTGAAACGCATTTTATACGATTTGTTAGTAAGATGATACTGTTAATACAGATAATTAGAAAAATATAAATAATTTTAGTATAAAATATTGGAAATTATAAGTGAAAAATAATTACATAAAATTACAAGTTTAGTATGTATTTTCGTGTAACAATATATGACACGAAAATCCATATTCCCATTGTTCTTTTATGGCATGGTATGTCCTGACGCTACGCCATTTGAGAATTTCTGATAAAATATTTACTTTAATTGTATGAAGTATATTGTAATATAATTGAGTAAAATTATTGCAATATATA